GAGGGGGGTGGCCGGCAGTCTGGTGGGAGAAAGCAGGCTGACCTTGTGCATTACCACCCCCGCATCCCCTCATTCCTCCCCTGCACGCCCCCCCACCTCTGCTCTAGCCTGCCTGTGGCTACACACTTGCTAAGGGTGCGGGTGGGTCTGAATCCTCTGGATATTTTCAGTGCCCAGCATGGGGCCTGGTGCCCAGAGGGATTTGCTGACTCTCTGTCCGAGGTTCCAAACCAGCGTCACCAATGTCTGGCTTCTCTGGGCAGCTTCAGAGCCCAAGATCTGGCTGGGCCTCTGACCTAGCTGCCGGCTTCCTTCCCACTGCGAACCTTTTTCCCCAGATGGGAAAACCAACCTCAGGGAGCATCCAGAGGAAATGCCTCGAGGGAACATCACTGAGGGGGGCAGGAGCCTGGCTTCTAAGCCCCCAAATCTGCAACCAACAAGTGTGGCCTTGGGCGAGTTGCTTAACCACTCTGTGCCTCTCCTTTCTCATCTCCAAAATGCGGAGACAATAGAGCAGTGTAAGGGCAGGTGGGTCCTGACATCAGGCGACTTGGTTTTGAATCTCCGTTCCACCACTTGTCTACAGTGGCTACTTAGATTTTTGGCCATGGCCCAATTATACAAACTGTGTGAAGGGTGAAATGGATAATAACAGTGTCTACTTGGGGCGCCCGGCTGGCTCAGTCGGGAGAGCGAGCGACTTTTGATCTCGGGTTCATGAGTTTGAGCCCCATACGGGGGATAGACTTAGAATAAAAAACAAAAACAAAACAGTGTCTACCTCATAGAGTTGTTGTGTTAAGATACCTGTTTTATACTTAATATATATCTTTATATACTTTAGGACAATTCCCGGCACCTAGTAAGTGAGTTATTATTATTGTAATGTTTGCCTTTTTTAAAATAATAAAAGGCTGCTCTCCAGGCCTCCCGGGGTTTTGGTGAGGATCCCCTGACATCTTGAATAAAAAAGCAGGGAGGAATTCGGTAGGTAGCTGGTCTTTTTGACCTTTTTTGTTTTCAAATCTGACAGGAAATTCCTTCCTTCTCCAGCGATGCCCACCACCCAGCCACGCGCCCCAGCTGACTGCTTTCCATGACAAAAGGCAAGGCCGTGTTGGCGACCGGTTCTCTGCCTCAGAAACCAGCAAATCCCTGCCTCAGGTAAACCACTGGGAGTTTCTTCTTCATTAACAATCTCAGGGTTTTGCTACTACAGCAGCTAAAGAAAACAAAAAACCAGTTAGATGCTGCACACTTCGCCTCTTTCCAAGTTTTGGGTGGTTGCAGGGAGGAAGAGGAGCACAGTTTCAGTGACATTCCTCATGGCCCGACCTTGACCCAGTTTGCCCTGGGACTTGACAGTGCCCTGGGAGCTGGAGAAGTTGGGGTGCAAAGGCTCATAGTTCTCAAAGCCTCTGGGTGCCCCCTTTCCTAGTAAATTTAAGAATGGGATAAAAAGGGGGGCACCTAGGTGCCTCAGTTGGTGAAGCGTCCAGTTCTTGATCTTAGCTCAGGTCTTGATCTCAGGTCTGTGAGTTCAAGCCCCACCTTGGGCTTTGTGCTGGGTGTGGAGCCTACTTAAAAAAAAAAAAAAATGGGATAAAGGTTCTCAAAGTACTTAGAAGGAAACCTAAATCCGGTTTCTTGGTTTTTAAAATTCTTCTCTGCCCCGTCTTATTCTGGAAGGTACGTGAGATTCCAGAAGGCTTGGAAAGCACATGCTTTCAGTTATACGTGTGCCCAAAGGGCCTCGGCCTGGGCTGCAGCTCGACATCAGCCCCCGGTCCCTTGGCCAACCCAGAGAATGAAGGACACTCCTGTAAATCCCACATCTTTCCCTCTGCACTCTCCCAAACAACGGGAAGTGAAATCTAGCTCAGACCCAGAATTTCTGACCTGGTTCCCAGGCACAATGTGTCACAGATGCAGGAAATTGGTGCCATTTGGGGGGGGGGGGCGCTGGTGCAGACTTTGACCTGGAAACATCACCGGCACAGGCAGCTTCGTCCCTCTGCCCTCTGCCTCCGTCCCATGCCCAGCAGGAGGCAGCTCCCTGATGGGAGATTGGTCCTGGGAGTGGAGATGGGGGAGCCACCCCGTCTGCCCTCTCTAGTGGTTCAGAGGGAGATTGGAGGGGATTCTTCTTTTTGTCTTTGTTCTCATAAACACCATTGTTCTGGCATTTAGTGTCAACCGCTCAGATATAGATATTTCCAAACACAAGTCACTCAAGTTCTTTTTACGTGTCTTTCTTTCCAAGAAATCATATGCCTGTCTCCATCATCCTCCCATGCCACCTACCCCTGCCGAAAAAATAACCCAGGTAGTTTGTTGACCCGTAGTACTCCAGCCTAGTAGAGTTAGTAGAAATAGATGCCAAGAAGGAAGCTACCCTAAGAATCTATGATCAGCAACGCAAATATTGAAGTAAATCTACCTCCAATGTGACAGGGCAAATCGGTGGGTCTGTTTTGAGAAATGCCTCAGGTCCCAGGTTGCTCCTGCTCAGGACTGATTTTCTTGAGGGCAAAAGGCATCCCATAGGACAGAAACTGTCCTATACCAGAGACCCGGTGGCCCAATTCATTCGTGGCTCAACAATGCCCTGAATGAGTAAGGGAGCAGGCTTCCTTGTTGGCAAATTGTAGGTGTCAGTCTAGATCAGGGGTTCTCCAGCAGGGTTGATTTTGCCCCACCCCTCCTCATCGGAGAACATTTGTCAATGTCTAGAGATACTTTTGGTTGTCTCATGTGGCCCCAGCCAGGAGGAGAGGGGGTGCTTCGAGGATCAAACAGGTAGAGACCAGGGATGCTGAATGTCCTGATGCACAGAATAACCTCTTCAACCCCATTACCCACCCCCCAAATACCACATGCTGAGGCCAAGAAACCCTGATCTAGAAACCTCAGCTTTCAGGATTCCTCTAGAAGGAGCCCAGTTCAACAGTTTCCTATTTCCTTGGAAATAATGGGCTACCTGTGGCCCTCAAGGGGACCACCGCACCCAAGGCTGCAGAGCCCCACTGTGGACCACTGCCAGGTGGTGAGACCTCAGAGCAGCATTTTATTCTGGAAGAGAAGTCTGTGCACTTAGTTTGAAGACAGAACTATTACAATGCTAGAAATCAAACTGCTCATTGGCCTACAGACCATCCCCAAGGAGTAACTGACTGGTTCCAGCCTTTCAGATGTGGGCAGGTGGGACAAATCCGACCAAAAAACCGTTTGCTTTCACTCTCAACAAAATCCTTGTCATGGCTTCAGTGCCAGGCCCCTCACACCTCTCTTCCTTTAGGAGAAGCTGAAGACAGAAAAACAAATGCCTAAAAGTGGACAGAAATCATCCCACTTAGAGTTTATTTCATGTGATTTTCAGCATGCAGTGTACTTTCTTGGAAAAAAAAAAAAGTTTTGTCCCAGTTCACATTATAAATTAATTTACAAATATAGAATTGTGTTAGAAGCAATATTTATAAAAGTCCATATGATTTTTCACATAGAAAAATATCCACAGAAATTGGTTTTTGTACACACAATCTGAGGGTAGGTAGTCTCTTTGGTTGTCTTTCTCTGTAATTTTTAAAAAGTAATGGTGATGTTATTTATACCTCGATAAACTGTTTAAAAAATAATTTTTGTATTGTGTATTTCAAAATAAAAATTTAAGAATAATGCTGTGAGTCTCAGAAAAGAATACACAGGGAAAAGTTGAAATTTTTTTTTACAATGTACGTGTGGTCCTTTTTCAAAAAAAAAAAAAAAAAAAAAAAAATTAAATCCCCAAACCAACAATGGTCCTATCAAAGACCCAACAACATGGTACAAAGACAATTCAGGACATTCTATTAATCTTAATGGAGGCTGTTCCAATAAATCAACAATCATCCCCATTTTAATTAGCACCTCTTAGATAAGTTCAAACAATGGCTGAGCTCTGGCTGGGCCCTGGGAGGGTGACCATGAACACCATTCAAATGAAGTTACCTCTTGAGAAGTAAAAGGGAGTGCCAAAAATAAATTATATTAATAATTTTTCGACAACAAATGTTTTATTAAGAAACTATAAAAATTCCACTTAAAAAACTACTTTTAATAACATTCTAATATTTTGTTTTAAAAATGAGAAATCCAGGACACATGCTAAAAGGGCTAGGACATCAAGTTAATGAGGACCATGGTCACCCTGGACCTCAGGCACATGGTGGAAGGCAGAGGTGGTGCCTATCCTTGCTGCTCAGCTTAAGTGATACTTATTTCAACCAGAAATCTTTGGTTAAATGAGACCTAGTTCATTCCTACCCCTAGACACTATGTCTGCCTATGGACAATGGCACCTTTTTTTTTAGAACCAGAACAGACCTTCCAGCACTAGCTCTGGAGCCAGACTGCCTGGACCCGATCCGGCTCCACAACTTACTGTGTGACCTTGGGGGAGTCACCTGGCATCTGAACGTGAGGGGTAGTAACCATACCTAGCTCCCAAGGTTGTTGTGAGGATTAAATGACCTAATACAACCTCGAGTGTCCGTCTGAAACAGCGCTGGGCACCCACGGCTCTCGGGGGCAGCTTCCCGGCTATTAGTTAGTATCTACCGGGGCCCAGGCACGGAGCAGAAGTGGAGGTGACACATGAGCTGGATAGAGCTCAGAGGACCTGTGCTGCGGTAGGACCCAGCACAGGATTTAAACTTTAATTTGTGGCCAAAAACTGCAAATGGAGGTTTCCTATAAACATCCAGATATCTGACTTCTCTAGACAAATGAGGACGCTGCCAGGCAGGAAAGTAACAAACGGCCCACAGCAGCCTTTTGCTGGTCCGCCGGAGCACCCCTTACCTGCTTCAAGGGACCAACTGCTACCTCTTTCCTACTGGATCAGCTTCATTCTCTTTGGCCGGCCCTTGGACACATCTGAGCTCATAACCCTGCGCTACAGTGACAAACAGAACAGACATGGTCCCTGCCCTGTCCCCAATAGAGTGAGGTGGCTTTCTCTCCAGAGAAACCTGTAAAAGCGCACGGGGCTGCAGGAAGAGTTATCTACTGCTCCCATCGGGCCACAGGAGCACCTGGGCCTCCAGAGGAATGCAGAAGCCCACTTCCTGTCCCATGAAATCTGCATGTCACGAGACCTCGGGTGTGCATATTCAAGTCTGGAGGGCGGCTGTCCCAGGCTGTCCTAGACCTCGGAGCCCTCGCGGGGGTAGATGAGGCTGTTGACCATGCTAAAGTTGTAGAAGGAGCTGCTGAACGGGCTGCTCTGACCCCCGCCGCTGCTGGCGGGGAAGGGGCTGTAGTAGGAGGACCTCTGGCTGCTGCTGCCGTTGCTGGCACCGTTGCTCAGCGGCAAGCTGTCTGGTGGGGCTTCCGGGACGGAGCTGGCGGGGAACGTGCTGCTGGAGGCCAAGGGGCCCCCCTGGATCCCTAGGTGGCGGCCGGTGGGGACTGCCCGCGGGGTGCTCCCGCTGCTGCTGACGCTCAGGGTGCTCAGGCTGCTGAAGAAGGTGTTGAGGCAAGGGGCGGAGGAGAGCAGGGACCCTCCAGGGGAGGAGGCAGTACTCTTGGCGCCCTCGGGGGACTCTGGGGACTGGGGCGGCCTTAGCAATGCAGGGGGGCTGTCTCCTTCGGGCTTCCCACCCACGCTGGACCCTAGTCCCGAGGAGAGCCCTTCTTCCGATTTTGCGGTCCCTGCGGCCACCGTGGAGGTGCTGCTGGCTTCGGAGCGGCGCTTGCGCTTCCGACGGAAGTTCCCATTGTCAAACATTTTCTCACAGTTCGGATCCAGGGTCCAGTAATTCCCTTTCCCTGTGGAGAGGAGAAAGGCACGCAAGTCAGAGAAGCGCCCAGCTCAGGCCCATGCAGTCAGCTTCAGTTCTGCAAGGAGGAGCACAGACTCTCATAAATTTGGACCAAGATGAAGATTATCCTTTCGGGGAGACCTTGCTCCTCACCTTCTACAAGAAATCCAGAACAAAGGTGCTCTGGCCATTTCCACCTCCCCCTGGCAGTGTCTGCTACCTAAATCTTAAGACCTAATTCTAGGCCCAAGACACTTTTAATTACCCAACGCCTTCCCCTCCGGATCCATACGCTGTACCCTTGCAAAATCTTGGTGTTGCTTAAATTCGAGCCTACATTTCTTTATTTACAGAAGTAGGCATAAGAATAATGCCCATTTCATAGACTGATGTGAGGGTTAAGTGCTGTCTCCACAGAGAAGCTGGCACACAGTTAGCAGTGAAAATCACTGTCTGTTATCATTGTTATTGGCTGAAAGGTACACTATTTGTCCCTAAAACAAACAAATCACACACACACACTCCACTGGAAAAAGCAACCTCAAATGCCCAATCATTTGTCTTGCCAAACAAAAATTACAAAAGTTACCACTGAGCTATCAGTCCTTTTAACAACTTGGGTAACATTGTTCACGGTACAAGAAGCTCCTACAGTCTACATGCCTCACTCCCCCACCTTGAGCAGCAGAGGCCCTGCATCCCTCACCCTGCAGACCTCAGATCAGAGCCTCAGGTAATGCATGCAGAGCCAGTCTTCTGCTTAAAAAACTTTCCCCCACTACCTAGTACAACTGAGGTAAAAAAAAAAAAGACCTGTCACTTGGAGGATTTTCTCTCAGTAACTTTTATCATTTCCAGTAAATAGAATCTTTGACATGTGAAAGCACTGCTCAGCACTTATCCCATCAAGTGCTTTTACATGGACAACTTCTGCTGCCCCTCACAGCTCTGTGGAGGCACTATTAGTGCCTCCATTTTTCAGATGGTGAAACTGAGGGGCAGACGGGTTAGTAACCTGCAGTATTCCCAGTTGGCAATGGGGATTTCAGGGATTTAAGCAGGCTGACTCTAGACTCAGCATTCTTACCTAACCACTGTGTTAGGTTGCCTGCACAAACCAGCACACACCCCTCCAAGCCCATTAACTTCATTAACACATTTTTTGCAAATAGTTGCAAAAAGAAAAAATTCTTATTCATACAACTACCATCTAGATGGTAATACCTGCACCTATAAGGATATCTGATATTGGGCCCCTGAGTTCCAAAGGCTTTGACAAGACACTAGCTAAAGACACCAACTTTTTAGAAAGTCTAAAAGAATATACATGACAATATGATAATCTTGGGTGATTCAGAGGCCAGACTGGGAAGCTGCACCTTCCAGAACTGTACGTCCTGTCCAATGCAGTAACTACTTGCCACACATGGCTGTTGGGCACTTGAAAAGTGGGTAGTCCAAAATGCCAAGTGGAATTAAACACACACAGGATTCTGAATACTTAATACAAAAAAAAAAAAAAAAGGCATCTCAGTAAAAATTTTTATATTTGGTTTATGTTGAAACAGTAGTTTGGGTGACTTAAAAATAGTAAAAATAATTTCATCAGTTTCTTTTTACCTTTTTAAATGTGGCTACCAGAAAATTTGCCATCACACGTGATTTATAATATATTTCCACTGGAAAGCTCCCCTCTAGAATACACTGGGGGTGCGGGGGGGGGGGGGAAGGGAACACTCCAGAGCATTTTACACAAAATCCTGGATTTCTGTAGCATGCAACTGAAACCATTTCATTTCTTTTGCCCATCACACCTCTGTCCCCTACCTGGTTGCCAGAGCCTTCTGAAAACCTCAAGTATAATCGTGTTTCCCTTCTTTTTGGGTCCACCCCACTCCTTCTCAGGTAGAGGAAAACCACTCACAGCACTCCACTGTAACCCAGCCCTCCCCAGCAGAGGGCTTAGATCAGAGCGCAGCAAATTTGGGGTTTTCATTTTTACATTTGGAAACGGTAAGGCACCGAAACCACAATTTGCAGGACCCCAGCTAAAGCTCTCTGATTCCTCTTGGCCCTCTGTCCTGATGCCTGTGTCACTACCCTCATAACATTTCTCACAAGGTAGGCGCTTGTTTCATGAAGGACACCGTTGATCAAGTCTTAGGAACCTGGGGCAGGAAGAATGGCATCCAGGGACAGCCTGAAAGGCCTGCTGTTGCTCGGTCTCTCACCACCTCTTCCGTGCAATGGGATGTGATTCTCAGCTCACCCGAATCCCTTTACAGTTGTCCCTTATCTAAGATCGCACGCGGGTTCTTATTGCTAACCTACCTCCCTGTGCCTTGGACCGTCCTTTCAATCGGCATGATGAACACCACCCAGGGGTGGCTTCCCGTCTGAAGATACGGTCTTTTTCCTTCTTCTCTAACTGGCCAGCCTCCGCGCTCGCGCGCGTGTATGTGAGAGCGTGTATGTGGGGGGGGGGGGTGTAGGTGTAAGGGGCGAGCTCCACCCCCACCGGCTCCCCGCTCTGAGGACCCTCTGATGGTTCCCTTTGTCCTCCGGCTTGCCCTCACCCCGGCCAGACGAGGTCGGAGGTTCGGGTGGTGGTTCCCCACCCCGGCTCCCATCCCCAGTTAGAGAGGACCCTGCGTGGAGCTTCAAGTCAAGCCCCACGCCAACGCGACCGTTGCCCGCGCGCCGCTGCCCCCCACTCCTGGGCCGGGCAGCACCTGTCCGGCGCCCTCACCTGGGTCGTCCTCGTCGCGGGGCACCTTCTTGAAGCAGTCGTTGAGCGACAGGTTGTGGCGGATGGAGTTCTGCCAGCCGGCCTTGCTGCGCTGGTAGAAGGGGAAGCTGTCGGCCACGAACTGGTAGATGTGGCTGAGCGTGAGTTTGCGCTCGGGCGCGCTCTGAATGGCCATGGCGATGAGCGCCGAGTACGAGTAGGGCGGCCGCACCATCTTCATCAGGTCCTCGCGGCTGGCCATGGACAGCCAGCCCAGCTCCCCGGGCGCGGCGGGCCCCGCGGGAGAGGCGGGCGCGGCGGGCGCGGGTTGAGCGAAGGCCCGCTGCGCGCAGCCGAAGGTGCCGGCGGCGGGAGGCGGCTGCAGGAAGGGCCCGGCGGCGCCCCCGGGGGGCGGGGGAGGCGGCGGCGGGGCGCCCAGGTACGCCGCGGCGGCGGCGGCAGCGGCGGCGGCGGGCGGGCCGCCCACGCCCGGCCCGTTGAGCCACAGGTAGGGGTTGGCGGCGGCGGCGGGCGGCGCGGCGTAGTCTGCCAGCCCGTAGGGCGCCCTGGCGGCCGGAGGGGCGCCCTGGGCGGCGGCGGCGGCGGCGGCAGGCGGGGGCAGGCCGGGCTGCGAGTAGACGCCGAAGTTGTCGCCGCAGTAGAGAGCCATGTCGGTGGCCGTTGGCGGGTGCGGCGCGGCGGCGGCGGCGAGAGGCGAGCGGGGCAGGTCTCGCCGCTCGGGCGAGAGCATCCCTTTGGGGGCCCACCCCAAGGCCCCGCCTCGGCCCTCGCAGGGCGACCGGTGCTCGGGGTGGGGGTGGGGGGGTCGGCGGCGGCGCGCGGAACGCCTGCCGTTCGGCTTCTTATAACCGTCTGCGGCGCGGCTCCTCCCGGGCGGGCCCGGGGCTGGGCGGCGGCCCGCGGGCCGGGGCTCTCCACGCCCCCGCCACGCCCCACCTGCCCGCGCAGCCCGGCGGAGCGCGCCCCAGCCCTCGCGCCGCCGGCTCGCCCCCGGAGCCCCCCCCCGCCCCTCCCGCCCCTCCCCCGGAGTCCCCCGCCCCGTCCCCGGAGCCCCTTCTCCGCGGGCGCAGGGAGCCCGGGACCCCGGGGGAGGCGGCCGGCCTCCAGGTTGAAGGCGAAAGGCACCTCATTCCCAGACGACGCGTTCTTAGCTCAGGAGAAGAAAGGAAATAACGAATGTTGAAACCCAGAGAAGAGAACCCAAACGGTACAACTGTTTTCCAAAAAGTCCCCCAGAGGAGTTTGGGTGGCCGCGCAGACCACCTGCCTGGCCCCTGCGGTTTTCTACCTCAAGCTTCTGCACCTTTTGTCATTGAGTTACTGGATTCCCGGCCAGTCCCAACAGATCGGCTTCTAGCCGAAAATAATAGAAGCAATTAACAACTCTCTGGGGTATACGGTAGATTTTATTACCGGGCATCCTTGGAGTGTCCCCTTCTCCCTCGGGGATTCTGTGACGGGAGGGACTGAAATCGGTTTTTAATTTTTCTAACCGTGTCTCTAAACACATAACTATACGTTCGTTCACATTCGGCAAGTATTTGTTCGTTTTAAGTCCGGTTTGTGCAGTCCTTTGGTGTGATTTGTTTTCTTCAAAAACAGAAGGGCGTGTGTTTTCAGAGACATTTAAATAAGTGGGTTCGGAATTAGCATTTTAAAGCCAACTGTAATTTAAACTGTGCCAGAAGCGCTCATTTACAAAAATGGTCTAAACGAATTATGGCACAGGACTTGCTTTCTACTTTTCTAAGTTTTGAAATGCGGTTCCTCCTTGGAAAAACAAGCGAAACAGGTAAAATACTGTGGCGACCCCACGTGCCCCGCAATCGTTATTTATTCTCTCCGAACAATAATAAGAAAATTGTTTCTCTTACAGTTTAAAATTATTCCTAAATGTGTTCTTAACAGGTGACAAGTCTGAGAATTTCACTTAAGCGGGAAGAGAGGCGGGGGAAAGCGCTTTTCTCTTTGCCAACTGCAGACGGAGAGTTAAGAATATTTACTAATTCGGAAATCCACCCCCCCCTCCGCATTTATTTTCGTGTTATAAATTTAGTTATGTACTTTACAGAAAACTATTATCTTCTGTTACCTCGTTCCTTAAAAAATGACATCCAGAGATATTTAACTAGTAAATCGTGATACCTAAAATGCAAACCACGGTTCAAATGTAACTATTTTTCTTATCTTTTCTGGAACCAGAAAAGAATTATTCTCACATCAAAATTTAGGGCGCTGTTTCTTTCAGTCTCTTGGCAAATGCTATAGAATGGAATAGTGTTTGTTTAAGGGTCTAAATTTTCTTTATGTAGATAAGCACGGTGTTGTGGATTTTTTTTCCCTCCTTCCCAAATAGTCTCAAACAAGATGGTTTTGTGACTTCTCTTGGGATGTTAATAATGATGACAACTATAACCCATGAAATTTGAAAGCAATTTTTAAATAAGTTATAATGCCCCAATTTAACGTTTGTTCTTAAGTTTAAAGGTCTAAATATAAAAGAGAAAGTCCAAAAGAAAAGCTAGGAACCGAGATGGCAATAAATTAGAAAACATTTCTAATTTATTTCATATACTGATGTCATTACGCCTATCACACCTTCCCTTATTTTTTAACAAATTGCTTCTGTATACATACTTTGCAGTTTTTCAGGATTGTTGTTTTGTTGTCTAATTCTTAACCCAGTAGCTCCAAATTATTCTGAGTAAGAGGCCATGATTGCAGATTATTGCTTCTTGCTTTGATTAAAGGTTCTAACTACTAGTTATTTTTGTTCCTTAACTGCAGTATTATCTTTAGCGGACTTTAGTTTTACTTAAAAAATGACAGAGCCACCTAGCGGCTCTTTGCCTCTGTTACAGCAGACATCTGGCAAGGATTTGTAAGGTGGACACCCCCTCTAGGGTTTGGAAGTTTTACTTTTCTGTTTTCAATCACGTCTTAATTAGATAAGCTTAAAACTATTATTGGTCAATAGCCTGGGGCTTTCAATGTCAAAGTTAAAATAATTTTTAATCTCTATTTTTTAAAAAAGGATTTATTTATTTGAGAGAGAGTGGGGGAGGGGCAGGGGAGAGGGAGAATCTCAAGCAGTTGCCCACTGAGTGAGAATCCGACTCTGGATTCAATCCCATGACCCTTGAGATCATGACCTGAGCTGAAACCAGGAGTCAGAAGCTTAACCAACCCACGTGCCCCAATCCCAATTTTTTTAAATTAAATTTTAAACATTTGGTGTACTTAAAAAAAAAAAAAAATCAACAGGATAAAAAATGTGCTTGAAATGAAAGCTCCCCATAATAAGACTTTGTCACATTGCCTTTTCACAAAAAGATGAGTCAAGGCTATTGATTAATGCTTCTTTGCCAATGTGAAATAGGGAGGTTATCACATGTTTCCATCACTGGCAAATAAAATGCTTGGGGAAAATATGATAAGAGGTAAACTCCGGTGCCAGTGGAGATGAAAAAGGAAACAGAGGAGGTGAGCAAAGAACTCGAGAAAACTCAAATTGTAACTAGAGAATATAGTTTTGGGAATCACGGAGAGAGGATAATACTATCACATAAACCAAAATATAGAAGATTAATTAGTGCATTTATTATTTTGGTGATTTAAGAAAGGATGTTGAGGGGCATCTGGGTGGCTCAGTCAGTTAAGCATCTGCCTTCAGTTCAGGTCATGATTTTAGGATCCTGGGATTGAGCCCCACATCATAGGGCTCCCTGAGGCCTTCTCAAATGAAGGCTGCACACACACCCCCACACTTCCTTCCTGGGGGTTCAGGGGGTGTTCAGTCCCTGCTCTCACACATTAGTGGGTGGCTCATCCCACCCTTTGCCCCCTCATTTCCAATCACCCAATTCCTGCTCCCCAAATCTGTCACCCACTCTCCTGGGTGTTCTGGAGGATAGGGACTGTGTCTTTCCCTGCTCCCTTTCTTCCAGTGCTAACAATTAAGGAACACGGACCAAATACCTAACTTTGTGTTAAGCCCCTTACCTGCAACATCTCACTGAATTCTCATAGCCATCCTGTGAAATAAGAAAGAAACCATATTTTATGGTTGAAGCCACAGAAAGAAAAGTTAAGTAATTTACCTGTGGTCTCCCAGCTTCTAAGAGTGCAGCTGAGGGGCCCTCTGAGAATCACGCTCAGCCGTAACTGCCTCCTGCATTATTTCCCCAGAGCCTGGTCCAGTGCCTGACTTTGGGACATGCTCAATTATTGTGTGCTGCTTGAATTAATTGAAGAGTTAAAAACCGTTAGATGGTATCAGCTCTATACACCATAGATGGTGTAATCCCTGGAACATTAAATGGTGCCACCTCTTACCCTCTCTCTTTACAGGGGCTCTCTCATCAAAGGCAACCACTTGCCAGCAGTGCCTTATGCTTTCCTCCAGAAAACATTTCGAGGTACTTACTGGTCCAACTCTGTATGCATTTAAAAATGTCCAAGAATGGAATCTGTGTTACTCACTTGGCTCTGCACCTTCTCCTTGCATTAATATATTTTGAAGAACCTTCAAAAACAGCCCATATGTCCATATGTCTACCTCGTTTTGTTCATCTGGTATTCCCTTTCCTAGGATATTCAGTGGGGACCCACCAGTATGGCTCTGTAGAAGGTTTCTAGCCTGTGTCTGTTCTAAATTGGGGGGTGCCCTTCTGGACCTGTTAGGCAATATTTTGAAAGTAACCTACTTTTGATGGATCTCTGGATTATTTCTTCTTCTTCTTTTTTTTAAGTAAGCTCTGCACCCAACATGGGGCTTGAATTCAGAACCCCAAAATTAAGAGTTGTATACTCTACTGACTGAGCCAGCCAGGTGCCTCAGGATTATTACCTTTAAAAAAAAAAAAAAAGATGACTTAATTTACTTGTGATAGTAAATTCCTTGCTGGGATTTGCTGGGTCACAGGATATGTACCTTTAAATGTTTGATTCTGACAAATTGCTCTGCCACAAGGTGGCCCAGTTTATACCACCCCTAGGTTCCCCACGGATGCCTACTTCCCTTCACCTTGGCTAAGGCTGGATTTGTTCAGTTCTTTTGATTTTTGCCAATCTTAAAAGCACAGAGACATATTTTGAAAAAAATGTATTTTTTTCCTTATGAATGAATTTAAGTACCTAGTCATTTTATTTTTTTTTTAAGGTTTTATTTATTTGAGAGAGAGAGTGAGCAAGCAAGAGCCAAAGGGAGGGACCAAGGCAGAGAGAGAAGCAGGCCCTGCTGATTAGGGAGCCAGGTGTGGGACTCAAGCCCAGGACCCCGGGATCATGACCCGAGTGGGAGACAGACGCTTAACCGACTGAGCCACGCAGATGCCCCTTTAATTTCTTTTATATGAATTGCCTGTCATGATCTTTCACTCATGTTTCTACATTTTTAAAAAGTGAATGTTTCTGAGCTCCTTGCAATTAAGGACATGAACTCTTTTTACTCCAAGGTGTTGCAAATCATTTCTTCGTTAAAACTATCTCTTCTCTTGGTGTATGCCATAACACATTGTCCTGGGTTTCTTTCTTTCTCTTCTGTATCTACCAAAAGGACAAGTTTCTCATCTCATTCTTTGAATATGGATTTTTGTTCCCTCAGATTCTGAACCTTGGCCCTCTTCTTTTCCTCTATACATCCTTCGTGGGTTGTCACATCTAATCCCATGGCTTTAATCACTGGGGTAGACATGTTGTAGCTGTTATTGCCTGTTTGGCAACTCTATAAAAAAACACCCCTCCATTACTTG